ATGCCTATCTCTTGATTACAACTTATCTCACAAATCCATCTCCACTCAAAAAGATGTTATTACCATATAGACAGGAATATACAAGTATAATCAATTTACAACCATTAAGAAACAAGCAAACCCATGAGAGCCTAGCACCCAATTGAGTCTCCCCAATTAAGTCTCCCCAATTACACCCTCTCACACCATATTACAGATAAGCCCAAAACACTTGATTCCTAGTGACCCCTTGTTTAGCTAGAGCATCAGCTAGACTACTGGCGGACTTTTGCACCCACTGAATTTGTAACTGAATATTCTATGACAGTCATTTGAGAGCTTTTATGTGTCCATAAAATCTTCTCCTGCTTCAACAACCAACCAATCACCATCTTAGAGTCACCCTCAAAATTTGACTTTTCCACCCCCTGTTTCCATTGCTTCTGCACCCCATAAATTTTTTTTTCTTTGGATAAGTTTTCTGCACCCCATAAATTACTGCCAAAAATTCTGCTCTTAAGGAATCCCCCACTCCAGTTGGTCCTGAAAATTACCTTCTTCATTTCTAAATATTCCTCCTATCCCCAAATGTTCCTGGATTTCCCAAGCTACTTCCATCAAAATTCAGCTTCAGAAAGCATTTCTCTGACATTTCCTAAATTCTCATCCCTCTTCCTTTCCTTGATGAAGAGCTTGCAACTTGAGACCAATTTCTAATAATATCATCCATCAAGAATGGCTCAAAAATGCCCATCTTTCTTACCTAATGTGCTACCTTGACAACAATGCTTTCAATTACTGCTTCTTTACTCCTTTTCTTCTCCTCAAAGATCCACACATTTCTTTCCTCCCAAATTGTCTAAATCAACGCAACCCTCTGTACACCTCCACAAGTCCACATAACTCAATACCTTTTCCTTGCCCAGCTAAAAGTTATGAGAGCAAATAAGCTGGATGCACATGATGGATAGTTCCAAATGCAACCAAAAAATCCATTCCCAAATGTAAAGAGCAAATGAAAAGGAGATTAGTAAATGGTAACAAGATTCATCATTTGACCTGCATAAAGTGCACCAGTTGGGGGGATTAGGGGCGTCCATAAAAAACCAAAAAATCGAACTGAACCAAGAAAACCGAAGCGCAAAATGCGGTAAACCGAACCGACCAGTTCGGTTTTGGTTCGGGATTTTTGAAAAACCGAAGGACCGGTTTGGTTTTTGGTTAACCTACAAAAAAACCAATGGTTAACCGAACCAACCGGTATATATATTTTTATGTAAAATTTATATATATTTTTAATATATGTCACATTTTCTATGTATTATATATAAATATATATTCATTATATATATAAATATATACTTATATTATATTTATAATAACCTATTTATAAATATAATATATATATTATGTATTTTTCAAATATTTATAATATATTATATGTCATTTTTTATTCATTATATAATATTGTACATATATTTGTATAATATATATTATAAATATAAAAAACCGAAGAACCGAACCGGTCAAAAACCGAAACCGGTAGACCGGTTAACCGATGGTACCAGTTCGGTTTCGGTTTGGAGAATTGGAAAAACCGGTACCACCGGTTCGGTTTACAAAAAAGTGCCATGGTTCGATTAACCGAACCATGGACACCCCTAGGTGGGTAAGCTCAAAATAGAAGTAGGCCACCTCCTTTGTAGGAGGCCTGAAGTATTGATGCTTTCATGAAACAGTTCCCAACAGAACACCATTATTTTAGGAAGAATAGGTTTACATTACACTAGCGGTGTAATCAAATCAAGCTTTAATCAAATAGTTTTGGCTTGAGATCAATTAGTGTATTAAAAGCAGGAAGCACAAAAACAAAGTCCATGGGGCTTTTGTGCCCAAGACGCGCTCCTTTTTGAAGCAAACACAAAATTTATAAAAGCAAAAATTCAAAGACATGCAAAAAAATCAGAAATTTTCAAAATGAAAACAAAAAAACAAAAAAGTATATATATAAACAGTAATATGTAAAAAATACAAATGTTTTAAGCTAAATGTTTTAAAAATCCTATTAGCTCAAATTTTAAAAATATAAACATAACATATAACACACATTCAAAGTGAAAAAGTAAAAATAAAATTAAATATAACATATAAAACATTTTCATGCACACAAAATTAAAGCACATGAAACTTTTAATTTCTTTATTTCTTCCCCAATCACATTACCCCAATTCTACGACCTTCTTTATACCAAGCCCAAGCCCCTTGAGGCAAGGTTAAACAAATCCATGCTAGAGTCTTAAATCCTTAATTCATGAACAAAAGTTTGATTTTGTAATTTTAATCATAATTCCTTATCTTTAAAAGTCTCTTCTATTAAGAAGGATGAATGTACAACATTAGCAAAATTGGGGTTCTCGGACAACTTGTGAGAAAACGAAACTTACAAAAAAATGCAAAACTTAGCTAAGGTACACCAGGCACACGCCTTTGTAAAGGGGTTGGACCCGGGCCTATGTTCCAAGGCGTGCCTTCTAAATCACAGGGCTTGATTCGAGTTCGAATTTCAGGGAAAATTTGATCAGTTATTCAAACTAGAATTTTACCAATAAACCTACACCACACTTTAGAGGGATGAAGTTTCCAAACACAATTATCTTCTTACCTAGGATTGAGGAAAATCCCTTCTAAGGTGTTCAATAGATTGGCCACCAGCTGAATTTTTGACTCCCTAAAGTTTCTCCTAAAACCTATGTTCCAACCAAAACCTTTGAGATGTTAATCGACAGTTTCATCTATTTGGGTGTTTTCATTGTCTATAATCTTGACATTCCCAGTCCTCAACTTCATAATTATCCTGCTTCTTTGATCTTCATCATTAACATGCTCTAAAAGGATTCTGTGAAACTAGAAATGTTCTATGTTACCCTGATCGCCTTTATAATCTTGACATTCCTGGTCCTCAACTTCATAACTATCCGCCTTCTTTTGATCTTCATCATTAACGCCCTCCAAAGGGTTCCATGAAACTAGCAATGTTCAATGTTACCCTAACTTGGCAAGGACATGGTTGGACAGAGCATCCAATATGAAATTTGACTAAAAGTTGAAGTATTTGGCATGATTGTACAAGTATCCAAGTATCATTTGCATTGTTCAATAACTCCTCTTTTATGAATAAAACCTTTGTCAAGTATCTGATTATTACCTTTAACAACAAAATTGGACCCCCCCCCCATACAAGTTCCTAAACTACTAGAGGCCTCAACCTCATTTAGCCTCGAAAACAGAGAAGTATCATCCACCATCCACCACGATTCAACAAGTGTTTCTTTGATGAATTAGACACCAGAGGCATCACCTCTGTTTCTGATAAAAAGAAGATGGACAACCAAGAATGTTTTATTGCGTTTTCCTATGAATCACTTTAATTTTGTTGATGGATAAAAAAAGCCTATGTGTCAACCTAGAAGGCTAGAATAAAACCATGGCATGGATTTATTGACAGCTTAAGAGCCTTATCCTTGCTCAATAGGCCTAGTGATTGGTCACACAACAAATTACTCTCACCCTCACCTAAAGGTACCAATGATTTTGGCATTATAATCACGCCAAATTAACTCACAAGTCATGAGTTCTGATTTACCATCACACCTAGTAACTTGTAATCTTCCCAAAATTTCACCTTAACAGTAAGAGAATCCAAATGGATCATTTTTCCAATCTATCCATCAAAAGGAGATAATTGGGCTGGTAAGCCACAATTTTTCGTAGGGGTTCAAGCAACAAAGTGTTGGCTTACAGACAAGAGATAAGAGAAGTATGAAGACTTGGTGAGGAGCTGGGGGCAAAATTCCAATAGGCACACAGATCAGCCAACGGTATGGTTCATACACTGGCAATACAAGGACCACACGGGGAAGAAATATCTTGGGAACGCACTTCCCATGGGGGGAAATTTGCAATTCTGGTAGTAGGCTGAGAATTAAGAAGCAGAAGCTGGCCCAACTTACAGAGTGCAAGGCACTTTATACATATTTGTTCTTTAATCAATGAACAACAAAATATCCATAGTTATGGAGTTGCCCATCAAAAAAAGCCACAAGCTTTAATGAATTGTCAAGCCTAATAACCCACAAGCTTTGCACCAAACCATTCAACAGTACAAAGATAACAGTGGTTATTTTCCATCCTATCAAACAAAAAATAGAAAATAGAACCACCAACTTATCATGCCACGACAGATGTAATGAATTTTACAAGAGAGAGAAGTGGAAAGGAAAAGAAACAAACAAAATGAACCAAAAGACAGAAAATTGGGGAATGGACTAGCAGCCTAAATAAAGAATTTATTCATTTGTTGCTTTCTCCACTGCAAAAGTGAAAAATATCACTTCTCAGTGGCAGGTTTGCAGTGTTGTTAATGTGGTGAGACTATGACAAACCATTTGCCCTCCCTATGTGATGCAATGATTTAATCAGTGCCTTAGGCCAACTAGTCGGTCACAAAATTTTCAAATATAAATTATTGATGCACCCTCATATACAAGTTAATATAGACTAAGTATTAAAAAAAGAATGATATAGAACATATAGTTTACAATCTTCATTTCGAAGAACATAAAAAAAGGATGAATTGAGATAACGAATGATAGTCTTTCTTTTTCAAAGAAAGAGTGCAAGCTTAACTGTTTGCTGTAGCCCCTTGATTGGAGCAACTAAATACCAGCAAACTACCACAGTAAGAAAACCTAAGAACTCCTCTAGTTCTTCTTTGATTTTATACACCATTGCCCAACCACGTCACATAAGTCATTGCAAATGTTTGTTTGCTTGAAGCAACAAGCATGCATTTAACAAAAAAAAGCATATATGGTATTGCTTAAAATATTTAGGAATATGTAAAAAGAAATAAAGCTTAGAAATAACTTTATGCACTAGTGAGTCTTTGACTCGAAACACAAATATGAGATCAGAAACTTAAAACGTGCATCAAAAAATTAACTCCACTAATAATATCTTACCTTTGAGAGCAAGTATTCTCGCATTTGGGTTCATCAAAGCAGAATCAGCAGTAATGGGCCTTCTTAAAGGTTGCATAGGCATGCTCATGTCAATGATAACCACACTATTCTGAGGGGATGTTTCACGAACACATATGTATTTGTCCGACTCCATTGTAACATGTGTGAAGGTAATAAATTGAGGATTGATCCCTATACTTGGTAACTGCAGGAACAGCAGATCAAACAACAGAATTAGAAGAACACACCTCACCTTCTACGGATCACAAAATTTGAAAAGAAAAACAAACTGAAGATCATGCATGGAGATCCCAAAACCCAAAATAATGGGAAAGGTGAAAATTTTCAAATATCAACAAGCAGATCCAGCACTCATGGATGACACCATTTTCTGCCTTACAGATCTGAACAGATCCCGGATCTACCTAAGCTCTAAGTAAAAAATCCACCAGACACTCGTAGAACAAAATTTCAAGTGAAACTATAGCCTATAGGCTTCTTATGAATTGATTGCAAGCTTATTTCGATTGACAGAAATAAATGCAACCTGGATTCGTCAATGCCAGCAGAAGAAAACAGAAACAAAAAGAGCGAAATCGAAAATAAAACTCGGTACCTCATTAATGATCAAAAACAACAGCACATCAATCCAAACCCCACCTTTCTAACAAATTCAGCTTAAATTCTAAGATTAGCCACAAAATCGAGAAGATAAACTCTTGAGACAAACAAACGAAACAGTACTCACCGTCAATGCCTCTTTCATAGTGATCGGAGCACTTGCGGCAGCCATGGTGCTCAGATCGACGCTTCAAAACACGGAATCTGAATTGCCGAAAGGATGAAACCCCCTACCGAGGGTTCAAAACTACACCTGTTTGGAGATTGATCCCTTGGAGATCCAAAGCAACGACAAACCCTTTTTAGCTCTCCAAGCCGGAGAGAGAGAGAGAGAGAGAGAGAGATGGATCTGAACTTCCGAAGGAAATATAAGCGAGAGACTGTGCGAGTTGCTTATTTTTCCTCTCCCTTTGTTAGTGTCAAAATGACATTAAATTATGTTTAAATGCGGTGTACATGGAATTCCATCATATTATCGTTCGGGTAGACAATATGTTATATGACTTTTTTCCCTTTCTTCTTGTTTTTTTTTTTTTTTGGTTTCGATAGGCGGAGGATGGAAATATCTTAAGGCTCCGTTTGTTTGTTTGGAAGTGCAAAAGTGCAGCCAGCGACCTATTTGCTTCGAAGAATTCGGTTTCAGTCAGTGCAAATCCGTGCTCACACCGTTCCAATATTTTTTTGTAACTTGCATTGGGAATATCTCTTATGAAATAAAAGAAAATAAATACGGAGATATTCCCAATGCAAAGTTGTAAAGACTGTTCGAACGGGTGTTGTACTGATCGAAGCTTATTTCTGCTTTGAAATCGGATTCAGTCAGCGCAAGACCCTCTCGAACAACCATTATAGCCTTGCATTGGGAATATCTCCCCATGAAATAAAGCATAGAAGTATGAAGATGTTGTTGATGCAAGGCTGTTCAAACAATATTCTAATAGGCCTTGTACTGACTAAAACCGACTTCATTTGCTTCTCCCATGTTATGCAAAGACTAGGAAGGTGTTTTAAATTTTGTGTTGACACACTGAGGCCTTATCATTTGCATCAGTATTGGGATGTGAAATTTGTATTCTTAAAAGCGATGCAAAATTTTATTAAATCATTGTATTTATACTATACATATTTGTATTTGTACTCCTAAACCGAGCCTTCCTCACTAAACAATCAAATTCAAATCAAAGTGAGCTTGGATTTCACTCACTTTAAAAAAATAAAAAAAAAAGAAACATTTAAGCAATATTTTAAAAACTGATATGAAACCAGAACTGTTATGGTCATTGGTTTCTAGGTCAATGGTTCAATTGTCCAATTTGAATGGGCGACCCGTTTCAACTTAAAAAGTAAATAAAATAATTAAAATAAAAAAAATGGCCAACACCATTGAACAAGTCAATGGTTTGACCGCCTAGGTCAGCAGGTTGTTGACCAAATCAATGGTTTTTTGGCCAACGGCCAAGTTTGGGTGAAATGGAACTAGTTGCTTGGACAATTCCCATGCCAAACGGTCTAATCGTCTAGATCGGTGATGGTTTGAAAACACTATATTTAAGACTTTAAGAGATGGTGTAAATTATAATTAATAAAACTTTACATATCTAAATCCATTATATGACAAACAACTTTAAATATGCCAAGAGATTTCTTCTTTTAAAATTTAATTCCAATTTTGGGGTAAAATGAAATGTACTCTTAGATTCTAAACATATATGTTTATGTAATTTACATATAATCTACTAAAAACATGCATTGATGTAATAAAAAAGATTATATTTAGACATTACAAAACATGCATTGATGTAATAAAAAATATTATATTTAGACATTACAATAATATCTTAAGGCCACGTTCGCTTTTCGGTAAATTATTTACCTGAGTAGGTGCATTTATCCATGTTATCTTATTTTCTAAGTAAATAAGACAATGACCATTTTAGCCGTAAAGTCATTATTAAAATAGACAAGTTTGTCCCATCTAAGTGTGGTAACTTCCCCCCATGTGGAAAAGCTACTTACTCACCTAGGAGATGGATATCATTTACCCGAGTAAATGATACCTAATGAAAATAATTTTTTTGTTGATCCCACAAAAATCTAAGGGCGCTCTTTTTTTGGATTTGGAGAGGGGGGAAAGTTGGTCAATGGGATTTTGGTTCCCATTGACCAAGAATTCCATGTTTTTTTTTTCAGTTTTATGTGGGGATCAGGGAAAGTTTATTTTCTTGGGTATCACTTGCCCAAAAAAGTGATACCCATCTCTTAGGTGGGTAAATAACTTTTCCACATAGAGGGAAAGTTGCCAACACTTGAATGGGACAAAAATGCCCCTTTTAATAATGGATTTCCATGGCTAAAATGGTCATTGTCTTATTTACCTGGGAAATAAAAGAACATGGGTAACTGCACTTTACCTTGATAAGTGTTTCCCAGAAAAAACTTACCCAGGTAATTGCATTTACTTGGGTAAGTAACTTACTAAAAAGCGAATGGAACCTAAAGAAAAGAGCATGGGTTTTGTGGTCAATTGGAAACAAAATCCCATTTACCAACTTTCCCCCTCAAAATCCAAAAAACAGACGGACCCTAAGGTTGTGTTCAATTTTCAGGAAGTTACCTATTCAAGTAAGTGTTTATAAGGAAATACTTCCCTAGGTAAGTGCATTTACCCATGTTCTTTTGTTTCTCAATTAAATAAGAAAACTTGTTGTTTTATCTATAAAAACCATTATTAAAAAGGGAAATTTTTGTCCCATTCAAGTGTTGGCAACTTCCCCCCAGGTGGGAAAGTTACTTACCCACCTAGGAGGTGGGTATCACTTACCTTGGTTAATTAGGGTTGCAAGTCAGACCGGGTTGAGGCCAACCCTAAGTTCTAAACCCCCAACCCAACCCAACCCTAACCCTAATTAAATTCCTTCAACCCCAACCCAAAACTTAGGGTTGGACTGGGCTCGAGTTGGGCCCAACCCAACCTTATTTCTATCCATCAAAATCTCATAGAACTTCTCAATTTTTACTACATATACTAATCCTATGTTTCATTAGTATTTGTTTGTTGAAGTTTTTATTGGTTCATTTAGTACTACATTCAGAAAAATAAGTGCTTGAAATGACTATAGTTTATTGTGAGTTATGATTATGATAGATCTTTTATGGGTGGCAAGATAGAAGATGAAGAATAAAATACTCAAAAAAACATAAAATATTTTATCAAGGTTTTAGGCTTTCTAATTATGATTAAGTGAAGTGATTATCTTAAAAGAAATTCATAATATTATGTGGTGGGGGCTATACAACTATCATGCATCTAAATAAATCAATGCATGAGATATTATATATATAAGATGTATTATAGAGTCAAGTTCAGGTTAGGTCGGGTTGCCCAAAGGGTCAACCCTAACCCTAACTTGAGCATCAGCCTAAACCAATCAAACCTAACTTTTTTTCGGGTTGGGTTCCGGCCAACTTGGCCCAAGTAGAATACTTATGGTAAATGGTACCTTTCCATAGACCCCACATAAATCTGAAAAAAGAACATTGGTATCTTGGTCAATGGGAACCAAAATCCCATTGACTAACTTCCCCCATAAAAAAAAAAAGAATGCACCTATAAGATAAATTACAGACTTCCACCATTTCTTCAAGGATAGTAGCACTTAGCCCCTTGAACTTTGTGTTATGACAAAGACCCCCTAAGCTTTTTGGATTTCAGCATGTAATCTTTACTCTTGATGATGAAGGTAAAATTATAAAACTACCCACTTGAGATTCAATGGGTCAAAAAAAAAAAAAAACTAACAAAATTAATAAACTACTGTGTTTCCAGATCGTTGATGGTAAACTACATTTCTTCTTCGACGAGGGTTTTTTAGAAGCACAATAACCCATTCCGAAAGAATTGCCTTAAAAAATTGTTGTTTTGGCAACCTTTTCTCTCAGTTCATCAATTTCTCATATAGGCAATTTAGTAGTTTTACTTTCACCCAACATGGTAAAATGAATAGGGGCAAAGTGCTGAAATCCAAAAGTTTGAGGGTATCACAAAACAAAGCTCACGTGACTAAATGCCACCACCCCTAAGTATAGGGTGGCAACTTTTAACTTACCCTATCTTAAAACTAAGTAGGTGTTTGGCATTGGTGCTGGGAACACATCACTGTTTTATGCATGTCTGAGTTGTAAGCATTGTTTTATGAGAAAATGATGCTTATTTTTTGTTTGGAAGCGGTGCTACCACATAGGGAGTTTTATGGGAAAACAAAATTGGTTTTGTTTGGTACAGTGCTATAGAACAGTTTTGATCATTGGTCTATATTATCCAACATTCAAGATGGTGTCATATTGATGCCATATCATTACGCTATTGGTAGCAACAGGCTATTTTTTGAGAAAACATTGAATTTGGCATTTCTTTAGACCATACTTTCTCGATTTCCAAGATGTGGTTCGGAGCAACTTTTTTTTTTTTTTGAAAAAATAGTACCAAATAAGAGGTCATTTTCTGAAGCACCATTTTTTCTGATGTGGCGCTTATGTGGTGCCATTTTCTCAAAAAACGGCATCGATGCTAAACACTGCCTAAAACATCCAATATTTTTGACCTCGTATATATCTTTTAAATTATGAGTTTTAAAAAGTAAAAACAATTGCTTAGAGTATGGTGAATACACAAGGGTGGAGTCAAGTATATTGGTGGGTCCTCCCCCCTAAAAAAAAGGTCTCTGCTCTACCACTATGTAAGAAATAAATGAGGAAATCTTCAATTGACAAAATATGTTACATTTTTTAAATAATGTTAAGAGTTTGGATCTCCTGCACAATCCTTCATGAAGAGATTCCTGTACATCAAATCAGAGAGTGCCACACTAGCATTCTCTCATGCTCAAATTTCACATGTGCCAATGGGAGTAATAGACGTTTTAAACATCATCCGATTCTACCTTTAATATATTAAAATTTTAAAACAAATAAAAATATGGATTAGGTTTCTTCATCCTATTTCGTTCAAATAAAAAATAAGAATTTACAGAGTTGAAACTAATCAGAAAAAACCACCAATAAGAATTCCGACTTCCAACTTCCAAAATTGAATGCTGGAAGCTGAGACGACTCTCAGACTTTTAAAACGATTAACAATTGGAATAGTGTTCTATCACTTGTTGTTACTAAGCAGGTTTGTTTGCTCTTGTTGAGTCCGATCCTCCACAGGTCTATTTCGAGTGCAAGATGTCACCACAGGGAACAAAGAACCAAGCTATATGAGATTTTTGAATGGAAGTTTGGGTATGTACTTAATGTCTACTGACCCAAATATTACATATATTTATATACATGTGCCTACGGCGTCATCAATGATGAATACATGAAGTTGGGTTCAGACGGGAGAGTTTGAGCCGACATAATCATATGGGTGGAAGGAAGTACAATTTAGAAAGAGTGTCTTAGGTCAGTTTT